CTAGTGGACATCTAGAGGGGCATTTAATGGGACATCTAGAGAGCCATTTAGTGGGACATCTAGCGGGATATTTAGCGGGGCATCTAGCTGGGCATTTAGTGGAACATCTAGCGGGACATCTAGCAGGGCATTTAGTGGAACATCTAGCGAGACATCTAGTGGACATCTAGAGGGGCATTTAATGGGACATCTAGAGAGCCATTTAGTGGGACATCTAGCGGGGCATTTAGTGGGACATCTAGCTGGGCATTTAGTGGGACATCTAGCGGGGCATTTAGTGGGACATTTAGTGGGACATCTAGGTGGGCATTTAGTGGGACATCTAGGTGGGCATTTAGTGGGACATCTAGTGGGGCATCTAGTGGGACATCTAGCGGGGCATCTAGCGGGACATCTAGCGGGGCATTTAGTGGGGCATCTAGCGGGGCATCCAGTGGGACATCTAGCTGGGCATTTAGTGGGACATCTAGCGGGGCATTTAGTGGGACATCTAGCTGGGCATTTAGTGGGGCATCTAGCGGGACATCTAGCGGGGCATTTAGTGGGACATTTAGTGGGACATCTAGCGGGGCATCTAGAGGGGCATTTAGTGGGACATCTAGCGAAGCATTTAGTGGGGCATCTAGCGGGGCATCCAGTGGGACATCTAGTGGGACATCTAGTGGGACATCTAGGTGGGACATCTAGCGGGGCATTTAGCGAGGCATTTAGTGGGACATCCAGTGGGACATCTAGTGGGACATCTAGCGGGGCATCTAGCGAGGCATTTAGTGGAACATCCAGTGGGACATCTAGCGGGGCATTTAGTGGGACATCTAGGTGGGACATCTAGCGGGGCATCTAGCGAGGCATTTAGTTGGACATCCAGTGGGACATCTAGCGAGGCATTTAGTGGGACATCCAGTGGGACATCTAGCAAGGCATTTAGTGGGACATCTAGCGGGACATCTAGCGAGGCATTTAGTGGGACATCCAGTGGGACATCTAGTGGGACATCTAGGTGGGACATCTAGCGGGGCATCTAGCAAGGCATTTAGTGGGACATCCAGTGGGACATCTAGTGGGACATCTAGCGGGGCATCTAGCGAGGCATTTAGTGGGACATCCAGTGGGACATCTAGCGGGGCATTTAGTGGGACATCTAGGTGGGACATCTAGCGGGGCATCTAGCGAGGCATTTAGTGGGACATCCAGTGGGACATCTAGCAAGGCATTTAGTGGGACATCCAGTGGGACATCTAGCGAGGCATTTAGTGGGACATCTAGCGGAGCATCCAGTGGGACATCTAGGTGGGACATCTAGCGGGGCATCTAGCGAGGCATTTAGTGGGACATCTAGCGAGGCATTTAGTGGGACATCTAGCGG